ACATCAGCAAAGACAATAAAATTCATGATAAAAAGAATATTTATATGGTCATAAGAAAAGATAGAAAATGTATAATTATGAAGGTTTATAATTTTAAGGAATGTTTGAAAACTTGACCTTGTTAATCTAAATAACTGGTTAAAGTCAGATTCTAAATATAACGATCCATTTTTCATAAAACTGGTAATATTACATGAGGTTCTCTTTGACATATGAGGCAAAAATTATTTGTTGCTAGAGATTTACAAACTCACAAATCGTTAACTTAACAGTGACATCACTGTTTTAAAATTATTTATTTGAGCGCTTTCAAAATTTATGACGTAGTATTAAAACTGGTTCTAAAAGTTGTTGAAAATATTTTTAAACCAAAGAGACCGCTCGAATATGGCTTTGATTTAATGCAATGCTCTATTGTGACGTCATCACCACTCGGTCTCCTCGACGCTCGCTCGATCGAGTTTCAAATCAAACGCCCCTTTTGAAGCAATGTTATAGTTGTCAAAGATCTGTTAAAACTTTTTCAAAATTTAAATAATTCAGCATTAATTCTGTCCTAGTCAGTCTTTTTTATGTATTATTTTGCATAAAAATCATGACCAAGTGTACTAAAACTAATTATCAGAAATATAAAAAAAAGAAACCGAAAAAAAGGGCGGATTTAAGGTTTCACAAGTGATCCATCATCAATATATCATTTATATCATTGTATCTCAATGGGTTCATCACTAGAACATTTTTTTTTCTAATTTAAATACAATACAATATTAAAATATACTTCGGTCATTTGGGGCCAATAACTCTAAATTTACTTGGATAAATTGAAAAAAAAAAGCAAAATAAATTTCTTAGGTATATTTCATATAAAAAATAACTAAAATTTAACTAAAATCACAACAAAACATACATTCGTATATTACCATGAAGGTATAATACCTCAATGATTGTTTATTACTACAGATTAATAGACGGAAACTCGATACACAAATACCGGTATGTTCCTGCGAATGTTAGCTTTATCCTTGTCACATAATATGACGCCACGTGGCATAAAAATCCGACTCATCTACATAGATAAATAAAAGAAACGAGACGTTTTCGAAAATAAAAAACTGTAACATATTACTTCATTGTTAAAGGTTGTGGTTTTTATGAAGTGAAAATAGAAAAGTTAATGTATAAGTACTGTAACGTTTGTTTAATTTAAAAACAGTTTATTTATAATTTATTTATAACGTACTAATTAACTTATTTAATACTTAGACACTATTATAACTCGTAATTCTAATTTATTTATTACGATTTATCTTTTCTATACAGCACTTAAATTGAAACTAGAACTAGAACATTCTCAATCGTCTAGAAATTCTGAAATTTCATTATCTATGACTCTTTTTCTGGTAGCTTCTCGAAGCAGTGCGTTTGTCTCTGTCCTTCAGATCAAAACATAGACTAAGCGGTTTGCAACGGCGAGTGAAACAGGTTTGGCTTAAGGTGGTTACATAACATTGTCCCCTTCTTAAGAGATAATTCCTCCTGGAACTGTTACTGAAACTGCATGGTTGTGTCTGCAACTGGAACCTCTTTTACAATTTATATTTACATGGAAATAACAAGGGACGGTTTTCGCTGAAGCATGGACACTGGACGAATGACTGCATACCAATATTTCAACCTCAGTACGTTGGAAGATTACATCCACCATGTTTCTAATGATCCTCCAATTCATTGGATTGCTTTCTATCTTGGGCATGGCTAGTTTATGTACATTGGACTCCCTTAGACTTATCAATGGTTCCTATATATCATGATAAGTGGATCGATCTGTAAAGGTGTTCTTTGTTACCAAAGAGAAAAGATAACGTGATCCATATTAAAGTTTCAATGCTTTTCCAGGGACTGGTAACTGATCTTGAAGTTGTAGAAATCGACCAAACTTCTTTCGGAACACAGATGACTTTGATCCTCGTTGATGTTGGCTGAAGTGCTATGGACCAGCGAGTAATCTTTAGGAACCGCAAGCAGGTTTTGTTGTTGCTCGGTTGTAACACAATGTCTTGCTATTCCGGTACCTCCATATGCACTCATAAATTCTTCAAAGACAGTATCAGGTGTTTCTTGGAGCTAGTTTATTTCTTCTTCTTCGTCATGGTCACCTTCAAATGGCGCCAGCCGGTTTTGGTGCACTACCTTCGGTTTACCGTTCGGGATCTTACTTATACGGTAAATAAATCATTCATTTTTTTCTTGATGAGATACGAACCTTCCCAAGACCTTTGAAGCTTCGGAGAGTGACCCTTTTGTCTTTTTGTGTTATGGAGCCAAACTTTGTCGCCTTCCTTGAAACATCCTTCTGTGGCTTGGGTATCGTATCGCTTCTTCATTATGTCGCTGACGATTTGAAGATACGAGCAAACTAACATGCATGTCGTCCAATTTTCTTCGTCACCTAATCTTCACCGGCTATCTCTTCTCCAGGACGGCATCCAAATTCGAGGTCGCATGGTAGTCTCATCTCGCGCTAAAACCGGACTTTTGCTGGTATCTGCAGAATTCTACGCTATGTACCGAGCTTTTATCCACATTAATAAAAGCCAATCGCAAACTCACCAAATATATAATCCTCTCAGACTCACTTAATTCCTTATACTCAATCCAACAACTATACTTCAAGCACCCAGTTGTCCAAGACATCAAAACCTTCATAGCCAACGAAAGAGACAAGGAAATTACTCTAATCTGGATATCTTCGTATATAGGCATTAGTGGTAACGAAGTAGCTGACCAGTGCGCTCGCGAAGCAATAACAGCCGATAACTCTCGAAGTATCCAAAAGGTGCAGGTTTAAAAATTTATTTAAATCAACTGTTAATAAATTTGTGGCAATCTCAGTGGAATCAGTGCAAGTCAAAATTAAGTGAAATCAAACCCTCATATCAGAAGTTGTGCTATCCCAACAAAAGAGAGAAACAAGTGATAATGTCGCGTTTGCGCCTCGGCCACATAAGACTGACGCACGAATATCTTATGAAAAGTGAACTAATCTCGATTTGCGAGGTTTGTGAAACGATTCTATTAGTTAAACATATTTTGACTGAAAGTGTGAACTTCACTGTCCAGAGAACAGACTGCAACTTATCCAACAATTTATTAAATATAGGTACTGGATGAAACAAATTGTAATCATATTTTTAAATACCTTAATATTTATAATCAAATGTAATAAAATTGTTATATACATCGACCGCTGTTGCTAATAACCTTGTATAACTGATGCCACTTTTTTTTCAAATAAAAAAAATTGTAGTTTAACTAGAAGTGAAGTGGAATGTTCTATATTTGGGAACCCAACCGATTTGAACCCTCGTATGTTGCCGACAATTGAACAATGGTACGATGGTATTTATTTATACGCTATGAACTAAAATATCAAAAATATAGTGGAAAAAAAAGTTTTTTTAGAAGTTTGCAATGAACTTGTGCCTAAAATTAAAAACATTTGGAAAGAGGTATCAATTCCAACTGTTTCAAAAGACAGAGATGTGCAATTAATACGAAGTATTATGGAAAATATATAAATTTAATAAGATATCCCAGAAGTAAGCGAAACAACAGCTATGCCGAAAAGGTAAATACATTTAAAATAGAGTGTCACAAAAAATTACTTGATATAGCTGCTTGTACGAGCCCTAACCACTATATGTTCGGCCTTTTCATAATTTTATTTCCGTTATATATTAGAAAACTTGAGGTTGAAAAATAACATCTATTTTTAAAAATTACTTAAATTTAATAGTTGTTGATGTTTCCGCTATTTGTGAGAGCATGACGCACCGTGTTCTTAATTTTTTTTTTTTTTTAATTATGTAATCGAAAGATAAATGATCATTTAAATGTTTGAACAATGCGCTAGTTCAGTGTGATGTCATTTTGGTTCCACTGACATTTAATTATAACCAAACTTTTACCAAAAACATCAATAAATTTGACATATACGATTTTACTGTTTTTATTTTATTTCAAAATATTGTTTACAGGTCATAAAAAATAGTTTAAAGGTATGTAATTGGTAGCTAAACGATTGTATATTTGATAAATGCTATCTACTTACTTTAGGAATATATTTATAAAAGTGAAAAAGCCGATATAATTTAGGTAAACAAAATGAACAAAACGCACTCAAAAAATCTACTGTCACTTTAATTGTCAGTGGAACCATAATTACATCATCACAGAACTAGCTCATATCCTCCGAAATTATTAAATTTAATGTTTGGGAGGCTTTGGAATTTTTGACGTTTAGAATTTTTTACATGTTTGACGCACATAATAAACACTAACTTACTTTGTTGGCTTTGGAATTTTTGACGTCTATAATTTTTTACGTGTTTGACGCACATAATGAAACACTAACTTATTTTGTGGCTTGACGTTTTAAGTTGTTGAAAGTGTGATGGTATCTTTGTGACAGTTTCTAACGTATTTTTTTTATTCGGTATTGAAAATGGGTCGCGGTAAAGCAACTCCAAAAAAAAGTTAGAGATTTGATCATAAACAAATATAAACCTAATCAAAAGTTTCCTAATAAATATCTGAAATAAAATTATGAAAATGCCGAACATATAGTGGTTAAGGCTCGTAAATGCGATTTTTCTGCATGCATGTGTGAAAAGACCCAGAAAGTACCTACTAAAGAACAGGGCCGCCGAGAGCCAGGTCGGGCCCCAGGACAATTCTCCAGATCGGGCCCCGCGACAATTTTATAAAAATTTTTAAAAAAAAAAGGTCTTCAAGCAAAAACTTCCCTCCTCTTCTGCCGAACTTCTGGAAGTAAAAATCCTCGTCACAGTAGCCGGGCACCCCTTATACCGCTGCCGGGCACCCGTTTGAGCCCAAGCCCCGGGAATTAGTCCCGGCTGCCTCCCCCCTTTTGTCGGCCCTGCTAAAGAACAACATTTACTTTCTGATCAACGGTCAAAAAAAGAGCATAGGAAATGTAGATCCTGAAGAAACAAAGAAAATATTGTCGAATAAACAAAGGCAATCCAGAAAAATCGAAAGACTAAAAAAATGTGAATCAGAATCTTGCAATTTATTGAGGCCCAGCTGTTCCTCTCAAACTACTACATTATTGTCAGGGTCAGAATCTGACCCCTCAAAATATCAATTCTCTTCAGATGACGATTTTATCAATCCAGACTTACCCTCTACCTCAAAAAACACTCAAATGAGAACAAAGTTTTCTACGTTAGGTCTTGTATGCGATAAATATGGTATATCTGATCGATCAGCTGCTGTGATTGCTAGTGCAGTATTAAAAGATGTAAGAATAATTACCACAGAAGATCAGTCGAAAATAGTTGACAAAAAAAAACTTTACTGAAAGAAAAGAAAAAATAGTAGATTATACAAGAAAACTGTTATCGAAAAACACATATCGCTTATCAAGAAACCTAAATCTATATTGGCCAGGTAACTCCGACTACATGGACGGCAAAGTCAATTGGAAAAGCAATATTGGACTTTTTTTCTAAAAATAATTTGAAAATAGATGATTTGGCAACTGTGGGTTACGATGGTACTGTTGTTAACACCGGTAATAAAAATGGTGTTAATAGGTATATTGAGACTGAATTGAAACGTCCTTTACAATGGTATATTTGCGAACTACACGCCAACGAATTGCCATTAAGACCTTTATTCCAACAATTACATTGCAGCACAGTGGGACCTCGTCAATATTCTGGTGATATCGGGAAGTCTTTAGAAAAATGTGAACGTCTTAAAATTAAAAATTTTACTCCAATAAAATGAAAGTTTCCAAATATAATTGTAATGTCTAGAGATTTAAGTTCTGATCAATCATATTTATATGACATTTGCAATGCAATATCAGGCGGCAATTTCTCATCAAATTCTGAGAAATTAGCTCACCCTAGATGGCTCACAATGGCAAATCGTGTTTTTCTGCTCTATGCTCGAATGAAAAAGCCTTACGGATATGGCTGAATTCATAATTAAAGTGTATGCCCAAATGTGGTTTATTATTAAACTAAATTCCAGTTCCACTAGTGTAAAATTGAATGTATTTAAAACTATTGAACTGTTACGGTATTTAAGAGATTATTTAAAAAGTATTGTGGATACGGTAATCCAAAGAAACCCGTATTTTATACACCCCGAAAACATTCTTTTGTGTATGCTAACAGACACTCGTGAATGGGTTCGGGAACTATCTCTACGAAGAATCATAAAAGCTAGCGAAACCGATCGAGAAACCGTTGAAGTAAGACACTTTGTAGTACCAAAAATTATTTTCATTGCTATAGACTACTTTGAATTATTTTACTGAAATGAGTGCTATATTTTACTGATGATAATCTTAGGGGCCTTATAAACGAAACCGAAATTCCAGACTTTGATTTTCCAAAGTTCTCTTGCCATACTCAATCCGTGGAGAGATACGTAAAATTAGTTCTTTAGTAATTGGACCAGAATCTAAAGAAATTATACCAACATTTGAAAGTAAAGGACAGTTTAAAATTCAGTAAATGTATTTTTTATTACTATGTTTTTTGTACTTGATATGTTAGCTTTTTATATTTGATTTGTAAGCTTTTATGTTCGATTTGTTAGCTTTTTATGTTTGATTTCTTTAGGTACTTTTTTAAATAAATGTGTTGTGTAGTTTTAATCCGCAATATTTATTTGTTGTTCAAGTAATTACTACCTTATCTTTTAAAGACGAAAGGATTAAACATTGGTTGAAAGGGGTAGTAGAGGGCTGAAGATGTTATTTAAAAATATTAAAAATAAAGGGTTTGAACATAAACACTAAAATGTAACTTTGAGTAAGTATTGTATGTCAAAATTTCAAAGTTTAACTTTTCACCCCTAAAGGGGACGGTAGATGACTGAAAATGTGAATATAGAAATTTTAAAAAAATTAAGAAAAGTAAGCATAAGAAACGCCAGTTTAATAGGTATTGTAAACTTAATTTTTACATTTTTTAAAAATATGCCTCTTTCGGCCTAGTGTCTAGTGCCTAGTGTCTAAGCTTGAACCATGCCCCTCAAAAATATACATTTTTGGAATGCCTTGTACTTTCCAGTTATTTTTAAAACGCTATGAATGAGACTCAAAGGAACAAGTTGAAATAAACAATAAGAAAAATATGTAAATTTCTCTTGACATTGTTCCTAAAAGGTTAAAAAATGAACTGCGTTGGTATAAAAACAATTAAAATACTGTTGCCAAAGTTCATTACCTTTCGAAAATTAGTGAGGACGTGAGTGTTTTTTCAGCTTTTAAGGATTCATCATTTTTAAGGTATGTACAGATAAATAATTATAATTCAAATTTTCGACATGGAGAGGAATATTTGAAGATGCTCTCGCAAGATCGAAAAACTCATTATGCAGTTTTGAAAAAACATTATTAAAACGCACATTAAAACTAATAAAAAAATTTAATATTAAACAAATATATATATATATATATATATATATATATATATATATATATATATATATATATATATATATATAAAATTTCAGAAAATTACAAATCTTTGTTATTGGTTTCTAATAATAAGTTTTAACGAGGGGTAATTTATCAGAAACTAATCGCATTTTTAAGATGAAAAAAAGGTTTTTCGAGTATTGGTGAAATAATTGAATATTGCAAACCATTATTATTTAAGACATTAATTATTCTTACTTTTTTCATTTTAAACTGAATTATGTTTATAATGGAAAATACTAATTTATCTATGTTGTCAAATCCACGTAAACACTAGATATACTTTATTGTATACCTACCGTATCACAAACTCAGCAACCATAAGCTATTTAATGACCTAAGAGATTTACAATGAATACAACTTAAATTTCATAAAAAAAAAGTTATAATAGAAAATGCAATTTACGCTTTTAAATGAATTTATTGATTTTGATCTTAAATTAAATTATTGATTCGTCTTTTATAGCCCTAATAACTCTATATTGTATATTTTCATATCTATAGAACTGCTAAATATTTTTTGTTGCTAGTTGTTGCTAGATCTATTTTTTTATCCTTTAAACAATTTATTATGACAATTTTTAAAATTTTTAGTTTGGGCAATAAATGTATTTAAAATAAGATTTTTGTAATAATAAAAAAAATATGGTTGGAAGGCAAAACATTATTTTATTTTGATATACCCAATGTATTTCAATGATTTTGTTGTTTTTAATCTATGTCATTTAATTATAGTTAAAAATAAAAATATTAAAAATATATCAAAATGTATGCAAATGTCTAGTATTAATCTGTAGAATACTGTAATATTTCAATACCTGCTACCAAATGATTGATCATCTTAGAAATAAAGGCCAATATGTATAAAAGAAACTTTCAATTTAAGGTTAAGTGTTTTTTTTTGCTAAAATGATTACAATGTTTCCGGTTGATATTATTAATTTAAAACTGATGTTAGTGCAGATATTACAGTTATACAAGAAAGATATCAATAACGAATTATATTTTAATATCAAATAATATATAATACATAATTATATTATATCTTACTAAATGCATTATTAAATAAAAACATTAAAATGCATGTTTAATAAAAATACTTTGTATCTCGTGCAATTTTTTTTTTATCAACAATGAGGATGTAGAATAGAATAGAGATGACAGATATTATTTTGCGATATGACGAATGAAGGCACTTCAAGTGACGGAAAAGTGTAATGAAAATAGTGACTTAAGTTGTATTTAAAGTGAATAATTTTATATTTAAAGACTAACGGAATGAACATGATTTTATATCATTTATATGAAGCTATTAAAAAATGGCATTTATTCTTAACAAAATTGACTAGCCATACTATCTCGAGTTTGACATTGACGTAAAAATGAAATGCAAAGGTGCGGACAATTTAGCATCGTCATAGCATCTCCTCTGTATTCTATCTCAATGATGTAACCCGAACAAACTGCGATGGATATATACAGCAATAGTGAGACCAATCATCTACGGGGCTATAGCTTGGAACTAGTTTAGCTACTAAGATAGCTAATATCTCAAAAGCACAAAGACTAGCCTTTATTACTGGTGCAATGAGAACCTGTTCAATAGCCACAATGAAGATGATCTTAAACCTCACCCCTCTACATTTAATGATAGAGAACGTAGCAAAAAGGACACTAACTAGAATTATTAGAAACGGAGTAATCAAACCAAACTCTATTTTAGCTTTCGGAATGAAAATACTTGAACTATGCTCCAAGATGAAATGAGAAAGAAGTACAGTTCTGTAAAAAACTTCAAAGTTACAGAGCAGGACTGCAAGAAAGAATGAAGCCAATAACCCATCGTGCTTGCAACCAAAAGACACGCTATTCAGTGGTATACGGATGGTTCCTAGCATTTTCCACGCGGAACTTCACGCTATTGAAAAATGTATGCAGTTTAACATGGAGAGAAACTATCGTACACAGGAGATTATCATTATGTCCGATAGCCAAGCAGCCAAAAGCACTGAGCTCTTACGTAATCAGCTCAAAAATGGTCTGGAGATGCCTAGAAAAATTGAAAGAGCTAAGCAAGAAAAATACAGTTACTCTCACTTAGATCCCGGGATATAATAAAGGGTAACAAGATTGCAGATAGTCTCGCAAGGAAAGTGGCTCAAATGCCCTTTGTGGAACCTGAGCCATTCTGCGGTATTAGCAGTAACACAATAATAAAAACCGATAATTGGAACAATCTCTTGGAGCTAAGACAGCTAAGATAATGGGTGAACATAACTAAAAAATATCGGAAGCCTGTATCTGCCTGAGCAAGAACAGGTTACGTATTGTAACAGGGACCCTTATTGGGCATTGCCGACTCAAAGGACACCTTAGTAAACTAAGAATAGTAGATAATAGTTAGTGTATATTCTGTGTGGAGGAGAACGAAACCTTCTTTCTTATGCTGACTGAATTTGTAGCACTCCATAATCCAAGGGCATTATACCTAGGATCATATCAAATAGAAGAACTTAAGGCCACTCAGATAGAAGGGAGCACAATAGATCTTTTAGGTCGCTGTGTATTAACATCCCATTTCCAACATAACATAACATATATTTGCACAGAAGTTTTGGCCTTAAGTCATCATAAAAAAGTAACATATTAAAAATAATTATTATAAGTTAACAAAATTGAATAAAAGAAAGATCTATGTTAAAACATCAATTAAACTAGAATCCTTGAAAATTCAAAATGAGGTATGTCTGAAGTTTGGGGTATCTGGGTAAAGGATTGCTAACCTAATAAAAATTAACAACACAATATTCAGTCAAAAGGTGACAAACTACAAAACTAAGTACAAAAGTTTAAAAAATATTAATAAAATATTTGATGGTAACATACATATATTGTCAGTTAACATAGTTATAATCCATTAAAATATCTTCCATCATATCAGAAAATTGTTAAAATGTGTGATTTCTTGTTGCTTCTACAATTTGTGTTATATTGAACCACACTGAAGTAACCTGAATTAGAAAAGGAAGGCACTTTTTAGACAACCACAGTTGATCCAAGAGCCTACCATTCTAACAAAGATATGTACAACAAAGGTCACCGAGTGGGTACTATGAACTAAGATGGAGAACACACTAAGCCAAAGGTGTGGCTTGTGCAATGAACTATAAGTTATTTGGTTAAAAAGCTATGGAGAAAGCAAATCGGTTATTCTTTCAGACTTGAAATTATTCAGTCTCCCCTTTCTCTTCACAATTCTAAAATCAAGATCGTTTTCATTTAAGTTAAAAGACATAAAGGGGTAGTTGAAAATGAAAAAAGTCGATTTAGCTGCTAAAGAATCCATTCTTCTTTCAACTATTAGTAATATTCATTCTGCGCAGGATATTATTCATGCAATGAAACGAAATGTTAGATCAAGCCGAGAGAAACTTTGTTGCTCATTCAAATAACCCATATATATTTATTCACCCTGTTCTTTCAAAATCTATTCCCCACATTACAAATTTTAAAATGTCTAGGTATTATTGTACGACTTTAACAAGGATGAAACTGAATCATAAGGGTTTTCCGTCACATCTTTCCAGAATTAATATATCACCTTTCTGTCAATGCGACAATTCTTCTTTTGCTGATATCAACCACCTCATTTTTTTTTGTAGTCACCATAATTCTTATCGTTCAGATTTTCTTAAAAAACTTTCTTTCCTAAATATCCTTTCTCCATCAAGTATTTCTATTTTATTAAGTTCATTTGATGAAAAAATATATAACTTAATTATTGAATTTTTAATTAAAGAAAATATTAAAATATAAATAAATAATAATTCGGTTTACAACAGTCTTAATTCTCAACTAAGACACGAGCAGCTACAATAGATCCATATATGTCTTAGTGGAAGGCGATGAGATCGTCCCACTCAATTCCAACCTGACCTAACCCCAGTGTTATCGGAGACTAATTTAAACGAGCCCTAAAAGAACATACTCCTGTTTTTATACACTTGCCCCCCCAGTCACTTGACTTCTCTCACTCGTCTACCGCAACTTGTCGAAGCAACATGTAGGAGCACAAAATCACAATTTTAAAAATATTTCCAATTTCCTAAATCCTAAATAAAAACTTTGTAATTTTGAAAAATTTTTGGTCTACTGATATCAGTGTGGATACCACTATTAAGTACATAGAAGCTCTTAAAAATCATCAACAATGCCATGATCAGTGTATTTGAGTCATAATATGTCCTAGTTTAACGTATTTTTCATTTTGTCAATAGATCTAGTCAACATACACCATAGCAGTCAATGAGGCCAAGCCGCAAAAATCGTTTAACTACTAATAATTTCGTCTATTATCTTATCATTAAATAGATCCAAGCGGCTTAACGCTTTTGATCACTACAACTTTTCAAGCAATGTTTGGCCAAAAGCGCCTGCCAATAGTGCCAACTCACATTAAATGATTTTCTTCTCTCTGTGATTATAGTATTATCTTGCTCTTACTCGTCAAGCAAAACAGAGAAACAAAATACGTTCATTATGATGTTCTGTTGTTTACTTCAGTGCTGGTGTCGTTTCTAAAAAACACGCCTAATTATTATTTAGAGAGTTTGTGTTTTCCTTGCTTTGATACTGAAAGATTTTGGATTTATAACGTAATTGAGTGTACTTAATGAGAGTGGTGAGCAATAAAGTTTTTACGTGGGAAGCAAATGGTTGTAGCAGTTTAATTCATTAAATATTCAGCGTAGACGGCGACAAAGTGTATTTACCATAGATGTACCAAGATTGTACTGCGTCCAACCGAA